CTGATCACTTTCTTTGCTCTGAAGTCTGCTGTATCTGAAATTAATATAGCTACTCTGTCTTTCTTTTAATTGGTATTATATCATTTCCCATTCCTTCTTCTCTGATCCTTTCTTCTCTTGCTCTCTATCACAGTTTGCTGGCTTTCTTTAGTGGTACATTTTAATTTTTCTCTTTATTCTTTGTGTATCTATTTCTGGTTTTTGATTTATGGTATCACATCTTCTGCATATAGCAGTCTATATTAAGTTGATGGTCACTTAAGTTTGAACTCAACCTTTCTCTCCCCCATGTTTTAGGTACATGATAACATATTTTACATTATTTTCTTTTGTGAATCCCTTGATTGACTTCTAAAGATATATTTATTTTTACTACTTTTCTATTTCCTACTTCTCTTACTCTTACTTATGGCCTTTCCTTTCCACTCAAAGATTCCCCTTTAACATTGTTGTAGGGCAGGTTTAGTGGTCATGATTCTTTAGCTTTTGCTTGCCTAAGAAAGCTTTTATCTCTCCTACTATTGGGAATGATAACCTTGCTAAATAGTATATTCTTGGCTACAGATTTTTTCCTTTTAATACTTTGAAATGTGTCATGCCATTCCCTTCTGGCCTGCAGAGTTTCTGCTGAAAAATCCACTTATAGCCTTATGGGATTTCCCTTGTGTATAACATTTCCCCGGAAAAGTCCTCTTTTCTCTTGCTGCTTTTAAATTTCTCTTTTAATCACTACTTTTTGACATTTTAGTTACTGTGTGTCTTGGTATAGACCTCCCTGAGTTGATTTTTGTTGGGAGAATCTCTCTGCCCCCTGGATCTGGATATCTGTTTCCTTACAGAAGTTTTCAGCTATTATTTCTTCAAATAAATTTTCTGCCTCCTTGTTTCTCTCTTCTCCTGGGACCCCTATAATGTGAATGTGGTTACCCTTGATAGTCACTGAGTTCCCTGAGTCTCTTCTCATTTTGCATAATTTTTTTCTCTCACCTGCTCAGCTTGATTACTTTTCATCACTCTGTCTCCCAGATCATTAATTCATTCCTCTGCCTTTTCTAGCCTGCTGTTTATTCCATCTAGTTGTTTGTAATTTCATTTATTGTGTTCTTCATCTCTGATTTGTTTATTATCTCTTTTTTAAGGGTCTCACTGATGTTCTCCACTCTTTTCTCAAGTCTAGTGAGTATCTTAATGGTCATTACTTTAAATTCTCTTTCAGGGCAGCCTAGGTGGCTCAGTCAGTTAAGCATCCGACTTCGGCTCAGCTCGTGATCTCACGGTTCGTGAGTTTGAGCCCGGCATCTGACTCTCTGCTATCAGCACAGAGCCCACTTTGGATCCTCTATCCTCCTCTCTCTCTGCACCTGTGTGCGCTCTCTCTCCCTCTCTCTCTCTCTTTCTCTCTCTCTCTCAAAATTAAATAAATATTTTTAAAAAATAGAATGAATAGCGGTTTGTGCGGTTAGGTCAGTTGTAGTAGAAGTAATTGAGAAAGCTGAAATGATAGGAAATTGTGGTCAGACACATTTGAATTTGAGGTTGGTTAGCCAAATGACATGATTTTGAAAAGAGCTGAGAGTTTTACATAAGGGTTTCATGTGGAAAGAAGGCAGAATGCCACCTCTCAACTCTGAGGTATGTTAGGGGAAAGAATGTTGTGCATCTCTATGAAAGAACTTAATGAAGTGGGATTAACATATGGAGCATAAGGAAAGGGTGCTTGAAAAGAGCCAGCCCCAGAAAATCTAGGTATAAATTGGGCTTTCAGCCCTGTCCAACACATTTGGAATAATGTAGTCTCATTGTTGAGATCATCCCTTTTGTTGGGAAGGATTACTAGGAAAGTCTTAGTTGAGGAACTTTTTTTTTTTTTAACATTTATTTATTTTTGAGAGACAGAACATGAGCAGGGGAGGGGCAGACAGGGGAGGAGACACAGAATTGGAAGTAGGCTCCAAGCTCTGAGCTGTCAGCACAAAGCCCAACGCGGGGCTCAAACCCACGAACTGTGAGATCATGACCTGAGCTGAAATCAGAGGCTTAACCGACTGAGCCACCCAGGCACCCTATTGAGGAACATTTCTTAAGCCCCACGTGTATTGACCAAAGCAACGTTTTGAATATAGTTTGGCTCCCCATATTACTACAGGGAGAAAATGTGTTGACTGGCCAATAAATACCTAGTGTGCTTAAGATAATTATCATTACAATTTTTATAATTGTCATTAAAATATCTTAAATTGGCACTGTGTTTTATACATCCATTTTTTTCAGGGAGTGGTTAGTGTTAGAGGGAATTTTTGGATTTCCACAGCTACAGACTGGACCCTGGGTATAAGCCCCAAGGTAACACCATTTTTTGAGGCCTCCTGGTAGAAGCCTTCACTGGGTACAGAACCTGTCTGCCAAGACATCTGCATGATATGCTTACTTATGTAAACTGCATCGGAGAACCAGATTTGTATATTGCTTTGTCTTTGTTCATATTTTTCTTCTTGTCCCTTCCAGAGTAGCATTCATTACATTTCTTAAATGCTTCACATAGAATTTCAAAGTTCAGTTTGACCTCTGTACTGAGACATTATCAGACACAGATGCTACACTGAGAGGCTTTTTGGCAATCAATGGCTTAGTAACCGTGATTCAGTTTGAATCACCCCCACATGGACCATATGAAAGCAGAATCTTGCCGGATCCCAGCCATATTTTTGGGAATCATTTTCTTTTCCAACTTATTGGACTAGTTTAGAGGCTCTTGGATTTTCCTGGACTTTTTCCTCATTTCCTTCTTTTGTTGCTCTTGGCCCCTTAACCTTCCACCCACTTTATTACTCATTTCTTAGGGACCTGACTACTCAGTAACACTAGAGAAAATGTATCTGAAGCCATATGGGTTCAGCAAAACAAACTTAAGAAAAAGAGCAAGACATTTGTGTTTCTCAACTTCCTCTGTTTATATGATGTGTTTATATGTTGCTAAGGTTGTGTTGTCCAGCTGCCTCCCAGTACCTCAACAATGACTGAGGAGAACTGGGAAACATTCACAGAGGGTCATGTTGGCACAGTGAGTGAAAAGACTTCATTTGTCCCCCTGCCAGATAATATATCACCTTTGAGGTCCAGTAAGAGATGCCAGGAACTTCAAATGCTGAATCTTAACGTTATTGAAAGGCCATTTACTTTTAGGGAGACTTTACTAAGAAGCCAGTTAAATGGGTCCTTCTAAGGTTTGGGAGTGAATATCCAACTATTTGAATGTTTGCTCTTGGTTTACAGTTAGACTGTATGGCATCTAATTGATTGGGGTTTTTGTTTTTGTTTTGTTTTTGTTTTTGTTTTGGTAAGATGAATATCAGTGTAAGGTGATGTTAGCAGCCCGTAAAGCCCAGACTCTAATCTGGTCTGTGGATAATGTGAATTAAAATCAAATTAAAATGTAAATACACCTATGTCAGGATTATTCTAGGAAACATCTAGAATGGAATGTTGCGGTATTTGTTAGAGCACTTTGTAAACCCCCTGTCTTGAAGGAATTGAGAATGGTTAGCAAAGCATCCTGGCACATGGAATAAACCCCTGCTTGAGTCCGAAATTTCTCTCTGCTTTCCATGCTCTACCCACTGCAATGGGTAATAGACATACAGAGATGCATTTTTTCACAGTAAGCCATTTATGAAGCCGTTCTATTAAATAAAAAATTTAGAAGTGAAAACAAGAAAATAAGAATAAGAAGTAAGCCATCGGTATTATCATTTTTGAAGTAAATTACTCTATTGGACATTTAGAATTTGGTGTCAGTGCCGTCCGCTTCTTCCTTGGGTTTCCACGTCAGTGGTATGAATCCTAGCTTGCTTGGGCTGCCCTGCTTTCTCCTTGATTGCAATTTCACTGGGTCTCCTTAGCAGCAACCCCTGAGATAACTGCTGAGGGAACTCCTGAGTGAATTCGCATAACTTGCTTCTCAGTTCTCCCTGTTTGATTGAGGCACTCTTTTTCTTGAGTGGTTTGCAGTTCCCCTTAAGTGGCTACTGTTTGGGGTCACTGTTGAATGTTTTGTTTGAATATCACTTCCACGATGAATGGAAGGCTGCTGCTCTTGGCTAAATGGGGTGAAGCAGTTGGGAAGCCTTGAAAGAGAAAAATCTTTCTTTGTAGTGAGATGCTAAGTGGAATTACTCTCTTTGTCACTTTGTCCTTTTATCCTTTCAGTCTGATAACCTTCAAGTTCTTGTGATTTATTTTGTTTTCTTCAATTAAGCTTAGCTGTTTCCTGTACCCAGGTACAGGCTATTTCCGTTGGTCATCATGGTGATGTGGAGCATATTTCTGACCTGGAAGTGAGGTTTCTTTACCTCTGCACCACATCAGTATGCCTTCCAGCCTCTACTTCCTTTGCATTATTTCCTTTTGGAGGGCTCAGTTTGTTACCATTTAATCTAAGGATGATTCATCTGGGACTGAGACCTGGTAATGCTGTAACAACAATACCTTGCTTTATATAATAATACTCAAAGCACTTAGCATCTTAGCCTTTCTCTGTTTATGAAGCTCTTTCAGTTTAATCCTTCACAATAACCCTGTGGATCAAGTCAGCAATTTTGTCTGTGTCTAAGATGGTGAAATAATATCTCAAAGACGTTGAATAACTTGTTCAGAGTAGCTGAGTTACTCTGTGTTTCTGAGTTACTCTGCTCAACAGTTTTTAGGGCAAATGAAGAATACTTTTGAAGGCATTCTGAATGAACAAAAGGGAATTTACAAACTCTGTCCCATTTATTAAAATCTAACTCTTTTTAGTCTGGTCAGTCAGTAAGACCAAAGTTAAGAACCCATTCACCCGTGTTTAAGTTGATATATCCAGATCAAGAAAATAAACGTTTAGGTCGTTTCTTTTCTGCTACTGATGTGATCAATTTAAGAAGGGCTGGCTCTTATATTAATGGAACTTCACCTGGAAGTAATTAAGCCATTATATATATTTTCTGATTCTCGCTTCCTTTCAGAGAGATGGAAACCTTGATGACTAGCTCCACCCTGCCGCCCCTTTTTGCAGATGAAGATGGCTGCAAGGAGAGTAATGATCTGGCCACAACTGGGTGAGCAGCTGCTCTGGGACATTGGGCCTCCACCTAGGCTTCAGAACAAAGCTTCTGATAATGTAGGAGATGCTAAAGAGACCGTTGTATATCATAAAAACAGAAGTTATGTTTGTTACGCTTTGCAGAAGAGAGAGTGAGAGCCATTGTAAGCTGCTTTGTGACCCGCATTCAGCTGTCATTTGCAGTGTTCCGGTGCCTGTGAACTGGAACACATTATGTAGATCTAGGACTCATCAGTTCCTCCTGGTTAAGAGAATTACATAGTCACTATTAAGTAAATACCTGCCACGGGCTAGCACTGAAAATCAAGTTCATTTTCTGTTTGAATTGCCACAGATATTAAAATCATTTTTCCCCCCGAGGTCTGCTTTTTTTTTTTAGATCTGATTTTTTTAATATGGCTCGTTTTTCAAGATGCCTAGGAGCTCTGACTTGACTGACTTCTCTTCCTTTTTCTCCCCCCATATCCTTTCTTTGGTATTTTTCGGACAGATGTGTAAAGGAATATAGAAAAGGGCTAATAGCAGTAGTCCCTCTTCCCTTGAAAATCTCTGTGCCACTTGAGTTTTTATCTTTTCTATTTAGAAGTTACTTGCCATGGAAGAAATGTATTCACTAATAGACTGAAGTACTAGCTAATCCCTGCAATGAATTATTTTAATATTCTTTAGAACTCTTTAAAAATAGACTAGACTTTGTAATTCTGTTTCCTTACCTCACATTTATTTCTTTCTTCATTAGTATCTGCCTTCTGACCTTACTATTCAGATAAAGCTGTTCTCCAAGACTTTTCTAAAAGCTGCCTAGTTGCTAAATCCAATTCATTCAAGAAAAATTTTCTGAGTGTCTCCTGTGTGCCAGACACTGTTCTAGGCATCTGGATACCAAGCAATGAACAAAGCAGACAAAAATATCAATCCCCATAAGAGCTTAAATTCTATTGGGGACATCAGGGAATAAACAGCATAATTAAGTAAAATACATACTATGTTTTTAAAACTATGGATTAACTAAGCAGGGAAGAGGGATAGGAAGGCTTTGGGGTGCAGTTTTGGAGAAGATGTTCCAGAAAGGCTTTAAAAGTGAATTGAATAAAGACCCGAAAGAGGTAAGGTAGCATGCAGTTATCTGGGGAAGATTATTCTAGGCAGAAGGAAGAAGAAGTGCAAAAACCCTGGGTTAGAAATGTTTCTACCTTTTACAAATACCCAGGAAGCCAGTGTGGCTGGAGCATAGTATAGCGAGGAGAGGGTGGTAGAGGACTACATTGGTGCTTTCTGAGTCAGAAATTCTGAGTGAAGGCTAGAGATCCTACATCATAGTGCGTTCCCAGTGAGGAACCATACTTTGAGTAGCAAGGGACTAGATCATGTAGGATTTTATAGGTCAGAGTAAGCACTTTTAACTGGCACTCTGAGAGAGGTGGGAAGGCATTGGAGGATTTTGAGCAGAATGATCTGATATGATTTACTTTTTAATAGGATCTCGGTGGCTGTTATATTGAGAATAGAGTGAATGGAGCAGGGGCTGAAGCAAGGAGATGAGTTAAGCTCCTGAAATAATTCAATTGAGAGATGTTGACTTAAAGAATATCACTAGTGACTTTGACAAGAGTATTTTTGGTGGAGTAGTAGGGGTGAAGCCTCATTGGAGAGGGTTCAGGGATAATGGGAATGGGGTTTGGTGACATGTAGAATTCAACATATATTTTGAAGATAAACCAAGTAAGATTTGCTTGAAAGACAAGATGAGATGTGAGAAGGGAGAAAAAAACAAAGACAACTCCAAACTGTTGGCCTAACCGACCAAAAAGATGAATGCCATTGACTTAGATGGGGAAAACTGAGCAGGAGCTCAATTTTGGAGATTTTAAATACGAGATGCTTGTTAGACATCCAAGCAGAAATGTCAAATAGACAGCTTGATATAGGGCTTAGGGGCTAGGGGAGGTCTAGACTAGAAAAAGAAACATGGGAGTCATCGGCACATACCTGATATTTAAAGCTGCAGACTGGCTGAGATCACTGAAGAAATGAGCACTATGTAGATAGCAAAGATAAGAGATCTAATGCCTGAGCTCTGGGATACACTAGCATTTAGAAGCCAGGCAGAAGAGGAAAAGTCAACAAAGAACACTAAAGGGAATAGCTAAAAAGGTAGCACAAAAACCAGAGGAGTGCCGTGTCCTGGAAAACAAGTTTAAAAAGTATTTTAGGAGCAAGAGATCAACTGTGTTAAAAACTTTTGGAAGGTCGGGTAAGATGAAGGCTGAGAATGGCACGGAATTTAGCATGGAGGGCATTGGTGACTTTTACAAGAATTGTAAGTACACAGGTCCTTGAGGTTAGGTTTAAGAAAGAATGAAAGAAGAGAAATTGAAGCCAATATGCATAAACAATTCTTTTCAGAGTACGGATTTTCCTCAGCGTACCATAGGATTACATCCAGATAAACCCAGAGTAAATTGAAAATATCATTGGTCAGAAATGCACTTAATGCACCTAATCTACTGAACATCATAGCTTAGCCTAGCCTACCTTCAGCATGCTTAGAACACTTACATTAGCCTACAGTGAGGCAAAATCATCCAGCACAAAGACATTTTATAATAAAATGTTGAATGTCTGTAATTTGTTGAATATTGTACTGAAAGTGATAAACAATACTCTTATGGATGCAGAATGGTCATAAGGGTATCAGTTGTTTACTCTGGCGATCGTGAGGCTGACCAGGAGCTGAGGCTCATTTCAGCTGCCCAGCATTGTGAGAGAGGATCACATGGCATATCACTAAGCTCAAAAAAATCCAAATACAAATGTGCAGGTGTGGGGTCTACTGAATCTATATCACGTTCACACCATCATCAAGTTGAAAAGTCATAAATCAAACCATCTTAAGTTGGGGACTGTCTTTATGAATAATTCTATAATGGAAGGGAGAAAAATGAAGTGGGATCCAGAGAGTGCTTTTTGTTTTGTTTCATTTTGTTTTAAGGTAACAAGGTAAGAGTAAAAAATGCCACATTTGTTTGCTGATTAGGCTGATCCAGTAGACAGGGAAGAATTGGTAATGCAGGAGAGGGTAGAGTTGCTGAAAACCTGTCTTGGAATAAGCTAGACGCTGTGGGGTCCATGGCACAAATGGAAGGGTTGCTGGCTTTAACTAAAAGTGTGCCAACTCATTAATAGGAACAAAAGAACCTTTTTTTCCCTCCAACGGTGTCCAACTTGTCATCTCCAAGGCATTTGACGCCTGTGACTGCTCCCCTCTGGTTTCTGTTCACTTCAGAGAGGGACTCCTAGGATTCATACATTTTCCGAAACCTAGCTCTCATATTATAGTGAAATAAGAATGTACAAGAATTAGTAACTTAAAAATAGAGGCACTGTTGGAACAACAGTGAGTGAAAGAACAAGTTGCCAAAGACATCCAAAGTGATTGAAACACCTGGAAAACGAAGCTACCAAGATCAAACTGGGTCTCCCATGGTGCCTCTTTTCAGAGCAGATGATTGGCATTGAGTTCATAAATTCTCTTAGTCTTTTTCTAAGGACCTCAAAGATCTCAAAAATGTAGGAAACTCCTGCTTAAAATTATCTATTACGTCTTCTAGAAAGGATCAGAAAAGTGTAATTTCTTTTATTTCCAGGACAGGGTGCATCTGCTTTCATTCATTTCTCAGCCCACTGGAATCTGATTTTTATTCCCCTAATTCTACTAAATCCCTGCTCCCTAAAGTTGCCAACAACCTTCAGGTCTTCAAATTTAGCAGATACTTTTTAGCCTATCTTCTTCAACATCTGCTGCTTTTCACTTGGTTAATACCCACTTGTAAAAAGTCTTTCTGCCTTGGCCTCTTTGACAGTATTCTCTCCTAAATCTCTCTATTTTTTTTTTTAAATTTTTTAAAATGTTCTTTTTTTTTTTTGAGAGAGAGAGACACACACAGAATCTAAAGACGGGTTCCAGGCTCTGAGCTGTCAGCACAGAGCCCAATGCAGGGCTTGAACCCACGAACCATGAGATCATGACCTGAGCCAAAGCCAGACGCTCAATCAACTGAGCCTAGGCTCTCTTAAATCTCTCTCTTTTTTTTTTAATTTTTTATAGTTTATTTATTTTTGAGACAGAGAGAGACAGAACATGAGAGGGGGATGGGCAGAGAGAGAGGGAGACACAGAATCTGAAACAGGCTCCAGGCCCTGAGCTGCCAGCACAGAACCCGATGTGGGGCTCGAACCCGCAAACCGCGAGATCATGACCTGAGCTGAAGTCAGATGCCTAACCAACCGAGCCACCCAAGCGCCCTTCTCCTAAATCTCTTAATGCCCTGCCTACTCTTTCTCACTTCTTCTAACGCTTGCTCCTCAAATGATCTTTTCCAACAGAGTTCTGTCCTGACTTTCCTCTCTCTTTCTGGAGAATATCTAGCACTTCCTGTTTTTCTGGTTTTCTTCACTTCTGTTCTCTCAGTGCAGGTTTCCAGTTGTCTGTAGGACAGCTCCACTTAATTATGCCATGAGTGTTTCAGACTTGACCATTTTCTCATCTGTCTGCCTTACACCCACCCCACTTCACTCCCTCCACACACTTTCCAGTTGACCTTGGCTAATAGTACATAATCACCCATAGAGTTACCTTTGACTCAGCCATTAAGTTCTCTCTATCCCTGAAGTTATCTCTCCCCTATTCTCAATCCTGCCTGCCTGTCTCTCACTTACTCTATAGCAGTAGCCTCCTGAGAGGTTGCCCTTACTCCTTTTATACTCTGTCCTTTCTGCCTGTAATGATGTTTACCTGACGAATACCTATTTATCTTTCAAGACTCTGTAAAACCTTTCTTAACATCCTCTGTATATGTATAAAATTCATCATACCTTCTACCATACACTTTTTACAGACCTCTGTTTTAGTACTTACATTGCCTTGTAATTATTTGCCTATAACCCTATGAAGGATATATTCTTCCAGAATAATGACTGAATCCAATCATCTACCTGCTTATATCTACTTTTCAGATGAATAAGATCTGGTTTGCTGACTCATGAGTTCCAACTCACGGAACACAATGTTGAAAACAGAGAAGAAATATATGTTTGATTTCTTAACCTTTATACCTGAACCTACTGAATTTAATAACATTAGATGATCTGGTTGTCAATAAACACTTCAGCCCCAGAGGGAATAACCTATGGAATGTACCATGAGAGATATTTCTTACACCGTCTGTAATGGGGCAGCCTGCCTCTACAACTGCCATTCCTATTCTCCTTTTCCATTAATAGTATTTCCCTTTACACTGGAGATATACATGAAAAGTAGCATATAAAAGTTTAGGGGAGGGGTGCCTGAGTGGTTCAGTCGGTTAAGTGTCCTACTTTGGCTCAGGTCATGATCCCCCGGTCCATGGGTTTGAGCCCTGTGTCAGGCTTTGTGCTGACAGCTAGCTCAGAGCGTGGAGTCTGTCTTCAGATTCTGTATCTCCCTCTCTCTCTGACCCTTCTCTGTTCATGCTGTCTCTCTCTCTCTCAAAAATTTTTGTAGAGAGAGAGGAAGAACAAATGAGCAGGGGAGGGGAAGAGAGAATCTCAAGCAGGCTTCACGCCATCATCGCGGAGCCCTGCGTGGGGCTTGAACTCAGGAACCTTGAAATCATGACCTGAGCCGAATCTAAAATTCGAACATTTAACCAACTGAGCCACCCTGTTGCCCCCAGTTGTTTTTAATAGAAGACATCTCCATGAAAATGACCAGGTTCAATCAGACACTGAAACTAGTTTTTTAAATGCTCTGTAACTGTTCTAGAGACCTTGTTTACATTTACACAAACGAGGTGGGAGAATTAAAGCTGGCTTCTGCTTTTGTTGACAGGGAAATTTGTCTTGAACCTTGGTAAGTAGCAATTTTTGATGCTATTGATAACTGAACCATTGCCCATGTGTCTGTTATTCTTAAGGTTAACCCACCCAGAGGTTCCCTACAGTAGCGGAGCCACATCATCCACCACCAATCCAGAATTTGTGGAGGATCTCTCTCAAGGTCAGTTGCTTCAGAATGAGGCTTCAAATACAGCAGAAGGCACTGAACAGAGGCATGAAGATGAGGTAAGCTGAAGAAGCATCTCTTCCTCTTACCAGTCTCTGAAGTTTCTGAAGAAGCAGTCAGCAAAGGAATTGATCAAAGTGTTCATCCTCTGGCCCCCCTACATTCTGCAGAATTTTCTTCATAGAACCATATTAATTGTTTTAATGACATAGAGACAAGTAGACTCTTTTTCCCCCTACTTAATAAATTTATATCTATATCATATTAAATGCTCAACAAATGCTTATTGAATGAATGAATGATTTAAATAAGTAATTAGTGAGAAGTGCACATGCCCTTGTTCAAGGCCACACACTGTATACACACCAAGCCCTACAGCATGGAATCATATGTGCCCAGAGGAGCCACACTGCTTATTAAGCCACTCACCCTCCCATAGAGGGCATCCTTCTCCAGTTCACACAAGGTTCCATGTGGGTCTGGGGCAGCCATGCGCTTGTTGGACTTTCAGTGTTCCTTGCAATTGATTGATGACATTGTCCATGTTAGGCAGTCTTTTTTAGTCATAAAAGAGCTCCACCATGAATTTCACCTTATTTCTTATTTATTTTTAACATTTATTTATTTATTTATTTTGAGAGCAAGTGCAAGCAGGGGAGGGGCAGAGAGAGAGGGAGAAAATCCCAAGTAGGTTCCATGCTGCCAGTGCAGAGCCCAACACGGCACTCAGTCCCACAAACCATGAGATCAGGACCTGAGCCGAGATCAAGAGTCGGAAGCACAAAGAACTGAGCCTCCCCAGTGTCCCATCATCTTTTTTCTTAAAAGAGCTGATTCTTTTCAGGTTGGCATCCTTAAAGATTGTAATGAATGATTGAAGCTTCCTAAACATCTTAAAATTCTTAGTAGCTTTAATGTTACTAAGTTTACAAGATGAAATCAGAAAAACAAAAAAAGCTGATAGCAAATATACCATTTGCCCAGTGGTGAATAGTAATTCGTAATACTTTGGAGGAGTACAGTACTGTAATTAATATTCAATGTTTTTGTCCCATTTTCACTTATCTTTCTCTTCTCTGAAAGAAGAATTCTTGTATCCATAAAACTTTATTAACTGATAAGCTCTGTGTATTTTTAAAAGTATGAAACAAAAGTATGAGGGAGCTTGCATCTCATTAAAAAGGACAAAGAGATGGCATACTTGGATGGCTCAGTCTGTCTGCCCCCCCCCATGTGCTCTCTCTGTCACTCTCAAAGTAAATAAACAAACAAACAAACTTTAAAAAAAAAAAAAAAACAAAGGACAAAGAGAAAGGGCTGTGGTAAAACATCAGTAGTAACTCAGTCCTTTAAACTTTTGGGGGGCACCTGGGTGGTTCAGACGGTTAAGCGTCCAACTTTGGCTCAGGTCATGATCTCATGGTTCGTGGGTTCAAGCCCTGCATCGAGCTCTGTGCTGACAGCCAGCTCAAAGTTTGGAGCCTGCTTCAGATTCCTTATCTCCCTCCCTCTCTGACCCTCCCCTGCTCACACTGTCTCTCTCTCTCTCTCTCTCTCTCTCTCTCAGAAATAAATTAACATTTTTTTTTAATTTTTTAACTTTTTTGAGGTGGTTTCATTTTTTGATGTAACCAACAACATATAAAGACCTCTGACTATAAAATAAACGTCTTTTTTTTTTTTTTAAATGTTTTATTTATTTCTAGGAGAGAGAGAGAGACAGAGTGAGCAGGGGAGGGTCAGAGAGAGAGGGAGACACAGACTGAAACAGGCTCCAGGCTCTGAGCTGGCAGTCAGCACAGAGCCCGACGCGGGGCTCGAACCCACGAACCGCGAGATCATGACCTAAGCGAAAGTCGGACGCTTAACCGACTAAGCCACCCAGGCGCCCCTATAAAATAAACGTCTTAAGGAACAAGTCATCAAGCCAAAAAACTAAGTATTCATTTTGGATATATTATACTTGATGAAATTCATATGGTAATTTAGAAATCTATATGTTGTCTTCTATGGGAAATGAACTGGTCTTTGAATGGTATCAATGAAAATTATCCTTCACGAATTATTTTTAATCCCTGTACTAGAGCTTGTCCCTTTGCCCAGTGCTTATGACATCTTGTTCTGATCCACTGTGACAGTGTCTGCTCCTCTGGCACAGCACTATGATGCGCCACGTTTCTCATTTAGAAAATTCCTCTGTCGGGAGTCAGGACTTGTTAAGTGTGTATGAAAGACAAAGCTTATGTGATCATGGTACCCACCTTCTCATCAGTTAGGATTAGTCCCTTAGTGTCACATTTTGCAGTGTGGCACATGAAAGGATGTGCAGGCGAACCATCTAGAGTTCCTTCTTGAAGACTACATTGCAGTCATTTGTACCTATGACCGATTTGGAGAGCTTTGAATATCCAGGCTCTTGATAGTAGGAAAATGCAACTCTTACGCTGTTTTGTTTGTTTTATTGTTGTGTTTTCTGGGTGGATTCTGTAATTTGGTTTTTGGCTTTTTTATTTTGTCTTATAGCAAAGAAGTAAACGAGGAGGTTGGTCCAAAGGAAGAAAGAGGAAGAAACCTCTTCGAGACAGCAACGCACCCAAATCCCCCCTTACAGGGTATGTTCGATTCATGAATGAGCGTCGAGAACAGCTTCGAGCAAAAAGACCAGAAGTCCCATTTCCGGAAATCACAAGAATGTTAGGCAATGAATGGAGTAAACTGCCCCCTGAGGAAAAACAGGTAATTGTTCCTATTCCTGATCCTTTGCTTGGTTTTGAATTTTTTTTTTTTTAATGTTTTATTTATTTCTAGGAGAGAGAGAGACAGCGTGAGCAGGGGAGGGTCAGAGAGAGAGGGAGTCACAGACTGAAACAGGCTCCCGGCTCTGAGCTGGCAGTCAGCACAGAGCCCGACTCAGGGCTCGAACCCACAAACCGCGAGATCATAACCTAAGCGAAAGTCGGACGCTTAACCGACTAAGCCACCCAGGCGCCCCCCTTTGCTTGGTTTTGATCATGCCTCAAAAATAGCTTCTGTCAGAAACACAAAGAGGAAGGGTGCTTGATTCTTCAATTTTGTCATGGGCCTAGAAGAACAGAATAGGAGGATTCATCATAGCTCTTTTCTCTAGCACCGTGGTTTTTATTCTGTTTCAGGGTATGCTGCAGGGGTGCAAACAGGAGGGGCCCTAGGAGCACCCCCTAAGCAAAGCAGCTCTACTTTTATTTGACTTATATGCTGAGAGTTCATATAAAAATTTTGTAAAATGTGATTCAATATTAAGAAATGAAGAAATCTGTCAATATGATTTATACCACCAAGTTAAATGAAAAGTCAGGAGTTGAATAAGAAAAGGTCATTTGATAAAATTCTGCTGTTCACATAAGATTTTTGTTTAAAATTTTTTAACAAGAGTTCTGGCAAATTTAACCTACTATGAAAAATAAGACAAGAACTATTTGAATTCTTCTCGAAGCAAAAACTAACACTGTTGCCAAACTGAAACAAATCCATTTGTTAGAGAGGGTTGAGAGGAATTAAGGACAATATAGCCACAAATTGGTTGAAATGCCACAAAAGTGGAATGATGGTAGATTGTGGGAGTGGCTTGGGGTTAAAAGTTCCCCGCATTCTCATCATCTAAAAGATAGCTTTATTTCTTTTATGCTTCATACTTTTTAAAAAAGGATTCCACACAGACTAAAACCAAATTGAAAAATACGCTGGGGAATTAATTGAATTCAGAAAATTTCAAGGAGATTATATTACGTTACAACTTGAAGCTCTTTATGGCAGTAGGCAAGTGAAAAAACCAGTGCATAGTGTCCATTATTTTAGCCCTAATGTATAAAGGGATCGTGAGCTGTTCATACTCCATTGGTTACTCTTTTCTTTTTAATTTCTTAATTTCAAAATTGCTATATGCTCTTTGTTTAACTTTTTTTAAAGATGATACAGAAGTATGTAAAGGAAAAAGCAAAAGTAATGTTAATTCTCTCCAGAGATAACCACTGTTAGGTAGGACAAGGGTTTTTGTGTTTGTTTTTGTTTTTGTTTGTTTTTAACTTTTTCTTTTATGTTTGTTCATTTTTGAGAGGGGGGGTTAGGGAGAGAGGGGTACAGAGGATCCAAAGCAGGCTGACAGTAGAGAGCCCAACACAGGGCTCAAACTCACCAACCATGAGATCATGACCTGAGCCAAAGTCCAACGCTTAACAGACTGAGCTGCCTAGTCCCCCTGTTTTTAACTTTTTATTTGGAAAAGGTTTCAATGTACAGAAAGTTACAAACACAGGATAGTGCAAAGAACACCTAAATACCCTTTACCCAGATTTGCCTGTAGTTAAACACATTTTACCCCATCTGTCCATTTGCATATGCACTTACACTCTCCTCAACAAGCTTCGCATACATGCGCACTCATGCTCACTTGCTCTGACACACACACACACACACACACACACACCTTTTTTCAAAATCATTTGAGGTGAGTTATGTACTTCATCGCCCTTCACCGCTAAATATTTCAGTGTGTATTTCCTAAAAATAGACATATTTTCTTACACATAGTTTCCTTATCAACTGTATGATTTTATATTAACACAATACTTTCATCTAATTTACTATCTATATTCTAGTTTTGTCAGTTGACCTAACATCCTTCCTCTGTGACATTTCCCCCCTCCAGTTCAGATTCCTGCCCAACAGCAGCGTTTTGTGTTTCATAGTCAGAACTCTAGACTCCTTTAAACTGGGATATTTCCATAGTCTTTCTTGGTTTTTCATGACATTGATATTTTTTAAGAATGCAGTCCCTCCCTCTTTTTCCACCTCCTTTTTGTTTTCCTCTAACGAACATTTCTCATTTTGTACTTGTCTAATGTTTCCTTGTGATGACATTGAGATTATGTGTTCTTAGAATACTGCATGGGTGGTATTGTGTCCTTCTCTGGGCATCACATGTGCAGGCACACAATGTCCTTATTCCTCATTGGTCATGTTAGTTTTGCTCTCTTGATAAAGTTTTTTTATTCTCCTTTACAATTAATAAGCAATCTGTGGAGAGATGTTTTAAGAACATACAAATAGTCCTTTCCATATCGATTTCCCCCATAGATTTAGCATCCACTAATGACTTTTGCTTGATCTAATCTTTACCATGAGAGTTGCAAAATTATAATTTTCCAACTCTAGCACTCCCTTCACATTTACTGCTCGTCTTTCAGCATTCTCACCTAAGCAAGAACCCTTTTCCTCCCCTGTTTGTTATGTATTGTTGGTATGAGCATACTAATTTCTTCTTTCCCAAAGGTTTATAATTTTATTACTGTACTTTCATATTGGGGTACTTAAATTGTCCCCTACATCAGCCTCTTGTACAAGACAAGGTTTTTAACATAATACTTGACTCTAGTTTGTGTCCATTTAAAAGCACTATTTTTATACCTTATTTCTTCAACCTAATTGATGAATGAAAAAGACAGGCCACTAAACAAAATTATCCTGTTAGATCAATGACTTTGTTTAAATAATTAATAGCACAAAGAGTGTAGATAAGCTCTGTCATAGTAGTCCATTTTAGGTCCATAGGATGAGGTCATTCCTTTTTATGTTCTTTGTGTCTCCCACTTTCGTGCTCTACTCTTCTGTCTCTTAAAAGGCCAATTGATGTATGAGATCATTCTCTCAAAATGGGTTGGGAATAGAGAAACAAAGTAATATTCCATCCTTTCTCTTGGGAAGACTACATATGCCTATGTGGTGTTCAGTCCTCTTGAGGACTCTAGTGGCCATATACAGGTCTATCTATGGGATTAGAGGAGTAACTGTAATGTCTTCTTGTGAATATTTTATGACAATGATCTCAATAGAACTTTTCTTCATTAAGTTAGAAAATAGAATAGAGAATATAAAGAATTAGAATTACCTGTTTCTTTTAGAATTGAGAGATTATATTTTATTCTATCCACATGATTTCTTTATCTTCTATTAGAGCTTTCCCTCATATCCTTTCTTTCCATGTTCTAATTGTCCTCTGTTTTCTTCAATGAGTTCACTAATATTTTACCCAGATAAGATGTGTTTCTTGAAAATAATTCCACATTTCTCTCCTAGCGCTACCTTGATGAAGCAGACAGAGATAAGGAGCGTTACATGAAGGAACTGGAGCAGTATCAGAAGACTGAGGCCTACAAGGTCTTCAGTAGGAAAACCCAAGACCGTCAGAAAGGCAAATCTCACAGGCAAGGTATCAGAACCAGAATGAGATGTTTTTGTAGTTTGTGGTGCATGATAGAGTGTCACAAAGCCCACTGTTAGAGTGATAAATATAAAAGATAAGTTTCCATCATTTCTCTACCATGCCACATTCACTTACAAAAATACCTCGGAATTTTATTAAAATAGCATTACTCTCATTTAAAAATCTTAGTTGGGTTTCTATATCCAGTATCAATAATTTGATTTGTATTCCAAGACCCCTTTTCATTACCTGTCCTTTTTTTTTCCTAATTCCCAGTTTAGGCATTTCTCTGCCTCTAAACAAGTCTGCCTACTAAACTATATACCTGCCTTTCTTTGACACCACTAAGCCTTCATGCGCCATTTCTCCCAGCCTGCAGTGACCATGCTTTTCATTCATCCATCCATTCATGTATTCATGTACTCAAACAGTACGCATTGAGTTTTCACATATATCAGGCTTTATTATATCAGGCTTTCACCTAGGCATTAAGTGAAACAGTGAACATGATAGACAAGATCCCAGTCTTCATGGATCCTTGTTCTCTGTTAAAATTGTTCATCACACCCTTCAAATCTTGCTTCAAGTCCCCTTTCTTCAGGAGACATTGCCAAAGAAGCCCTGCCCCCACTAGTCTGCCATTCCTTAGCCATTGCATCTTCTCCACATTTGGGCATCTTGCATGTTAAACTATAATGTTGTATAAACAGCCTATGGCATGTGTCTCCTGTCCACCCTCCCACTCTGTTCTCCTCAAAGGTAAGAACTGCGTCTGCTGTTTCTCTTTTGTCTAACTGTAACTACCTATAGTGCAGCACAGTTCATTTGCTTGGGTTTTGTTTTGTTTTATTCTTGAAACTAATGTTCTTTTATTCTTTCATATTTTTAGATGCAGCCCGACAGGCCACTCATGATCATGAGGTAATTAGCTTTCTGTCTATGTGTCGTATATATATCTGTTGATAATAATGTTATTGTTTGTCATGCTTTTAGACCTTTCTCTCTTTTTTTTTTTTTAATGATTTATTTATTTCTGAGAGAGAGAGAGAGAGAGACAGCATGAGCAGGAGAGGGTCAGAGAGAGAGGGAGATACAGAATCTGAAGCAGACTCCAGGCTCTGAGCTGGCTGTCAGCCCAGAGCCTGACATGGGGCTCGAACCCATGAACTGTGAGATCATGACCTGAGCTAAAGTTGGACACTTTACCAACTGAGCCACCCAGGCACCCCTCTTTTTTTATTGAATGGCAGAATATTCCCTATCTCATAATTCCAATTGGGTGAGTTACTTTTGCTCAAGGATTCTTACTCTATGATGGACACTTATCATGAGTCTGTCCTTCAACTACATCCCCTAACTCCAGTCCTTTCTTGTGGTCCAAGAATCTTACTGCCTTGAAATGCTAAAGATGGCTGGAATTTGGAGTGAAGTACAGAAACAAAGACCAGCTGAAGGCCATACTTGATCATAGGTTTTCATCATCAGATACCTCACTCTGAGTCTCAGAAAATTGTTATTTAGGGAACCCAACATTTAAAATGGACTATTCAACTATAGTGTCAACGGAGCACAAGTTACAGTATCTCAGTTCCTAGCTCACTGGCACTTGGCACTTATTCCTTCACTGGCCTTTTCCTCTCCATTTGGTTTAGCCTGTCATCCATAGGATATGGACCTGTGTTCCTATGTAGGATTTTAGGCCCATGTGTCTTTGGCTAGGCTGCAAAGAGAGCTTTAAATATATAGGTAGCCCATGATTCACATATGGTTATAAGAAAATAAAATTTTTTGGTAATTCCATGCTTTAAATACTCAGTGACTTTTCATCACTTATCAAATCTCATTCAACTCAGCAATCTGAGTCTTCTGTGATCAAGTCCTACCTTCCTTTTCCAAATACCTTAACTCCCGTATTTCCCACATATATCTTACATACTTAATTAAAAAGCCTTTACTACTCATTGTCCTCCACGTACCCCATCGATTTCTGCCTCATGCTTGTGTTCATATTCTTTCTTGCATGAAAATACTTCTCAGGGCACCTGGGTGGCTCAGTCGGTTATGCTTCCGACTTCAGCTCAGGTCATGATCTCATGGTTCATGAGTTCAAGCCCCGCATTGGGCTGTGTGCTGACAGCTCAGAACTTGGAGCCTACTTCGGATTCTGTGTCTCCCTCTCTTTCTCCCCCTCCCCCGCTCATGTTCTGTCTCTCTCTGTCTCAAAAATAAATACTTTAAAAAATGTTTTAATAAAAACAATTAAAAAAACTTTTTTTAATGTTTTATTTATTTCAGAGAGAGACAGAGACAGTGTGAGTAGGGGAGGGTCAGAGAGAGAAGGAGACACAGAATCGAAACAGGATCCAGGCTCTGAGCTGTCAGCACAGAGCCCAACGCAGGGCTCAAACCCACAAACCACGAGATCATGACCTGAGCTGGAGTCAGAAGCTCAACCGACTGAGCCACACAGGTGCCCCTTTAATAAAAACAATTTTTTAAAAAAGAAAATATGGGGCACCTGGGTGGCTCAATCAGTTAAGCATCCGACTTTGGCTAGTGTTATGACCTCACAGTTTGTGGATTCAAGCCTCACATCTGGCTCTGTGCTGACAGCTTGGAGCCTGGAGCCTGCTCTAGATTTTGTGTCTCCCTCTCTCTCTGCTCCTCCTCAGCTCATTCTCTCTCTCTCTCTCATAAATAAACATTCAAAAAAATTTTTTTGAAAAGAAAAGAAAATACTTCTCTCTGTCAATAATTTTTCCCGTTACCCCTCCCCTATCATCCCATTCTGCCTTGCAAAATTCTAGCCATCCATCAAACCCTGTTTCAAGTTCCATTTCCTCCTTCAGCTTTTCCTGTGTCCTCCAGCTTCCTTTAACCCTCACAGCTCTCTATATTTCTCATCTGCACTCAACTGCTCTAGCTAAGGTGTTGAGATTATTCAAGTGCTTCTGTTCTTCACATTCTTGGATTGTAATCTCTTTCAAGGTACCTATGGTCTAGTTTCCGTCTTGTACCCACCCCATTACCACCTAGCATGATGTCCTTACATTTGGAGATCTTCCAGAAATACTGATTTTTATAGAAAAACCCACTTGTGTAAATAACAGTGGAAATTTACAAAAAAGAATTTTCTGTTGTACTCTTGCGTGCTTTGGCTTTTTAAGAAATAAGTTTTTCGGGGCACCTGGGTGGCTTAGTCGGTTAAGCGTCCGACTTTCACTTGGGTCATGATCTCGCGGTTCGTGGGTTCGAGCCCCGCGTCGGGCTCTGTGCTGACTGCCAGCTCAGAGCCTGGAGCCTGTTTCAGTCTGTGACTCCCTCTCTCTCTGACCCTCCCCTGCTCACGCTGTCTCTCTCTCTCTCCTAGAAATAAAAAAAAATTTAAAAAAAAAAAAGAAGTTTTTCAAGGAGTGCCTGGGTGGCTCAGTTGGTTAAGCGTCCAACTTCGGCTCAGGTCCTGATCTCACGGTTCGCAGGTTTGAGCCCTGCGTCAGGCTCTGTGCTGACAGCCAGCTCAGAGCCTGGAGCCTGTTTCAGATTCTGTGTCTCCCTCTCTCTCTGACCCACCCCTGCTCATGCTGTCTCCCTTTCTCTCAGAAATAAATAAAACATTTTAAAAAAAGAAATAATTTTTTCAAAATAATAACTTCTCTTGGGGCTATAGTTCTCATACCTAATTTGGCCTTGGTAACCTTCAAAACACAGAGAAAACATTTACATTAACAAATCAAACATTTATTTTTTAAGTTATTTTTAATGTTTTTTTCATTATTTTTTAGTGTTTATTTTTGAGAGGGAGAAAGAGAGCATGCACGCATGCACATGAGCAGGGGGAAGGGCAGAGAGGGCAAGACACAGAATCCAAAGCAGGCTCCAGGCTCTGAGCTGTCAGCACAGAGCCCAACGTGGGGGTTGAACTCACAAACCATGAGATAGTTACCTGAGCCGAAGTCAGTTGCCTAACTGACTGAGCCACCCAGGTGTCCCATCAAATAGATTTATTGCCATCCATGAATTAGAAAGTAAGAAACATAATAAATATTAGCATTTTATTCTTCAAGTAAATCCTATGAAAATGTAGATATATGACATCTCTGTGCTCTAATTAGGGTGAAATATTATGATTTTTTTTACTTGAAAAACTGTATGTATACTTTATATTTAAAAGCCTAATTGAATAGTGTTACAAGCTTTTCATATTGCCAGATGTTTATCTGTATAATTACTTATTCCTCTCTTTATTTGTCTGCAGCCCCACCAACCCATATCATGAGATTTCCGTACTTTCTTTTTCCCTTATTAATAAGCATCCTTTATAACTTCTCTATCCTTAGTGGTTGCAAAGGAGAATTTGGACAATAATCTTAAGCGTTACATCTCACGCTTTCTAGTCAACAATTGACTGACTCCTTTTATCACTATGAATTTTGCTGGCGAAATTATATGTGGCATTTTGGTCCTCAGTAAGGTTGATAGTTTTAGTCAGGAAAGATTTAGTAGATTGACTCAGTCATAGAAGCTGCTGCTGCTGATTTGATAAATGAAACTTTTTATTAAATGAGGCTTTTTATTTATTAAATGAAGCTTCATATTTTTATTTACATGATTTAGCATGGTATGGATTCCTATGATTTATGAAAAGGAGTAAGTCTCTGTGTGATTTCCCTGTTTTCAGATTAGATACATGTTAAATCAGAGGAAAACAAGGGGAGAGTAGACGGACAGCCAGCAATCGTTTCTCAAATGTGTATACATTAGGCTCTGTAAATCTGTTTACTGGTATATCCACATCAGGATAAAGCTCTCTTAGCAAGGTTTTTGACCCAATTAATGTCCCTCACTGTATCAGTTTTTATTTTACACTGAATAATATCTTTCTTGAACTTTGCAATTTCAAAACAATTAAAATAAAAAAAGAATTAGTTTGATAGTTTTAAAACATAGTTATATAGTGATTTCCTTACATATAACTTCTTAGTATAATAGTTCAGAAAAATAAGAAAGCACTAGGAGTGAAAAGTAGCCACGGAAGTCCCCATAGAAAGGAGGAACTCTAAAGGAATCAGGCTCTAAACGTTCCTCATGTTTTGTAGGGGACACCTCGAGGTGGGTAAAATGACTTGAGCAGAGTTATGAGTAAGTTAATAAAAGAGTAAATATCTTCCAAACTGCCTGAAACATCATAGCTTCTAAATACATGTTTATTTCCCTTTCCTTACCCTATTAGGAGTAAAATGACAAATGTAGTAGAATATTCTTCAAGCTCACTTCAAAAGACTAAGATCTCAGAAACTCTCTCAACTAACCCCACCCCCCGCCCCGTGCCCATTTAAGGGGTAAGAAAAGTGACTAGCCTGAGACAGGAAACAACTTCCCCAGAATCACTTATTGAATTATAGGCAGAAAAGTTTGAGTGAAATGCAGGCTTCTGTATCCCATTCTGGCATTCTTGCTGCACATGCCACACTAAGTGGAACAAACTAGTGTTGAAAGTGAAATTGGGCCTGGTTGGTCATCAAATTTGTTGCTAATTAAGACAGAAATTATTTTGTTTGTATAAAGAAACCTATTATATTCCTAAGTGGAACTTGGATTCCTAAGACATTGTTACCATGGCAGGTAGTGGCAAGTTCCTGTCAGAGCTAAAGAAATGCTGACCTCAAAGCCACTTGAGTGTCCTGCATAGCACTGGGTACTGGGACTGGTACACAGATAGTAAGAGTGTTCCCTAAAGTAAAGGGACCTTGAGGGAAGATGTCACATTCTATGAAATTCTGGCCTTGAACGTAGATCACAGCAAAATAGGTTCAGTTCGAGAGGGCCTCTGTTCTCTTCCCTTCCATTCAATATATAGAAGGAAAAACCTAAGTGAAGAGCATTTTTGCTCCCCTCAGACCAAAAGCCAGCCCTCTGGATGCAGGAGTCAACTAGTGTTACTCTCAAGAAAGTGTCTACATCTCATATGAGGACTAAGATAGAAACAATAATTTTGTTTCTCCCTTAATTTATGAGAAATGACAAAATGACACTCAGCCTGAACAAATTAGACCCTTTCAATGAAGAGGTAATGAAATCCTTATGATTTTAATCCCTTGAGCAATCCTTGGAACAGCTTAAGTATACCCGAGCCCCCAGGAGGATCCTCTCCATGCCGAGTAATGTACTCAGTAATGGAAGAGTGCTGATGGTTTTTATTACCACTCTTCCGTTAAGTAGAATTTCTGTTGCCTTTCAGAGACTGAACAGTTTCATTTAATTGCTTTCTTGTTTCTTCTCTTGCACTCTAAGAATCTGTACCAGGGGGCAGTGTGTTAATGTACCTATGAGGTACTATTCTCTGCCCTTACTTAAGTAGTTAGCTTGGTTTGGGCCACTCTTGCAAAGAGTAGAAGAGCATTACCTGTCTGAGGAGACTCAAGGCCTTGGAGAGAGCTCTTGCTACCATGGGATTGGGAGGCAAGCATCCCTCCGTCCTTAACTAGCAGATATTTAGATCTGTGACTAGGTGAGTGATCTCATATGAGCCTGTGCAGTTAAGGAGGAGACTGAGCAGGGTAACTTGTATCTGTTATACCTTGTTCATGTTGAAATTGTATGTTTTCTGTTTTACTATCACTACCCAGCAACAGTTACAGCATAGGTAAGCCAGTCGAGTCCTAAAAAAGCCACTGTGAATATGTCTAGGATCCTTTCTGGCACCAGCTCTTCTCACCCACGCATGAGTTCTCCTTGAAGCCACTGGGAACTGGGCCGAGGTAGAGCTTTGCAGGTTGAAATTGGGGCTTTCACTGATAATTGTGTTGTTTCTTTTTAAATTGCTCTGGGAAACTTTGCTTACTTTCTTTAAGAGATAAAAGGTAAAAATTAAGTGCTCTGAAAGTTTCTTTAGGTAAATACATAGATACATAGTTTTTTAGACTTAGCATCTTAGATGTCTCTCTTGATCAGCTGCCATTGGCAGGCTGCTCATACAAACCAGCCCCCTTACAAGGTAGATGCCAAAAATGAAAATAGGAGCTTGGCCGTCAGAATTCCCTCACAGACTGTTAACTGCTTAAAGCAGCTTTCTACTGGGCAGCAAATCATATTTGTGTTCAAAGATAAAAGACTAGTGGCAAGAGTTAGGAAAGATACATTCTATCTCTTACTTTAAACATGTTTTTGTAGGAATGTTTTTTTTTTTTTTTTTTTTTTTTTTTTTACTGTTCTTTATGTTGTAAAGATTTTGGAATCTTCAGATCTCACTAGCAGTTCCTTCAGCACTCATTTCCCACTGTTGTCCTTACCATCTTATATTATGTAAGATTTTAACCATTGTGCCAATACACTTATTCCTAATGGCTTCAACTTCAAGTTCATTGTAGAAATTCCAGCCAAGGCATCTTGAAATTGACTTTATTCTTATGGGTTGCTGCAGAATATATTTTGCAGTGATTTATGAGACCTTTATTTTTTAACTTTATTTTTAAATTCACCAAATTGGTGAATTAAATTTAGGCGTTGTTATTCTTTTCTATCTTACTTAATCCTGCCTTTTCTCATATTTAGAGCCTAGTTATTTCTGACTTCTTGATTTTGTTTTTGTTCTTTTTTCCCTGTGTTTGAAGAAAGTTTAAAAGATCCCCAACTATAGGCTGCCCCCGTAAATAAGTAAAGCAGTAGTACCAATAGAATGTTGTTTTTATTGCTCATGGTTGGCAAATCTCTGCTGAAAGTTCTTATTGTCCATTCGGCAAATTTAAACCGAGCAGTCCTATCTCAGAGCATTTTACATGCGTAACCAACAGAAGCAAGTGAAAAAACATATAGAAATTCCTTTTCTCTATTCCTTCCTCAACACCTGTATACTCTTGACTTCTCAAAGCACAGAGCTCAGAAATGGCTTCCAAATTCTCCATTAGGGAAATATGTATAGGTTTGTTTTAAGGTTTCTCATTGCACCATAGTTGCACACCTGAGAGAACTAAATATTTAACCTGCTTGAACTCTATGAAAGGTTGATTCCAATGAAAAGGTAGAATTTCCCTTACACCTTCACTTGGACTGATACCTGCTCACCCTACTGTTTCTTTAAGGAAGACATGGCCTTCAGGCCTTACCTATTTAATTTAGCTTCTGTTTAAGAATTGACTGTTTTGTGGGGTACCTGGCTGGCAAGGCACCTTGATCTCAAGGTGGTGAGTTTGAGCCCTACGTTGGGCTTAGAGATTACTTTTTTCTAAAACAAAAAAAAAAAAGAACTGTTTTGTAAAAACACTAATTTGAAAAGATGTGCACTCCTATGTTCATTGCAGCATTATTTACAGTAGCCAAGATATGGAAGCAACCCAACTATTCATCAATAGATGAATGGATAAAGAAGATACACACACACACATAACATAGAGTGGAATATTACTTAGCCCTAAAAAATAATGTAATTTTTACTATATGTGACAACACAGGTAGGCTAAAGGGAATTATAAGTCAGAGAAAGACAAATACCATATGATTTTACTTATATGTGGAATCTAAAAAATAAAATAAAATAAAAAATGAGAGCGCCTGGATGGCTCAATGGGTTAAATGTTCTACTCTTGATTTTGGCTCAGGTCACAATCTCATGGTCGTGAAATCAAGCCCCATGTTGGGCTCCACACTCAACATGGAGTCAGCTTAAGATTCTCTCTCTCTCTCTCTCTCTCTGCCCCCTCTCTCTCCTTCCTCCCCTCTCCTCTGCCCATGTTCTCTCCCTCAAAAAAAAAAAAAAAAAAGGGAGAAAAGAAAAAGAAAAACAACACAAATGAATAAATAGACAAACAAAAAGCAGAAACTGGCCCATAAGTACAGAAAACAACTGATGGTTGCCAGAGGGGAGGGATGCTAGGGGAGATGGGGAAAATGGGTGTGGGAAGGAAAATGGGAAAAGGGGAGTGGGAGGTAGTCTTCCAGTTCTAGAAAGAGTAAGTCACAGGGATAAAAGTTACAGAAGTGGTTTTGTAATGGCATTGTATGGTGACAGATGGTAGCTACACTTGTGCTGAGCAGGCATACTGTATAGACTTATGGAATCACTACATTGTACACCTAAAATTAATGTAACGTGTGTCAACTATACTTCAATAAAAGAGGGGAAAAAAACTATTTTGTTACTCTTGATTCACAGAAAGAAACAGAGGTAAAGGAACGGTCCGTTTTTGACATTCCTATATTTACAGAGGAATTCCTGAACCACAGCAAAGGTAATTACTAAAGTATCATTTCGCATTCCTCAGATTTGTGACAGAGGATTTCATTCTCAGGAGGGATTCATTGCTCGAAAGCAGTGGTAGTGATATTCTCCACCCTAGGGCTGGTCTGGAGGAAGAAATCTACTTCTTTTTGACTCTCTAGCAAAGGTAGCTACTCAAAAACCAGTGAAGGAAAGCAGGACCAGTTTTGTCAAAGCGCCTTTAGTCCCTGGATCAAAGGAAATAAATACGCATCACTAATTCAATTGCTTTCAGACTCTTAGACCCAAACCCTTTGTATAATAAAAACTTACATGGGCATCCTGAATGTAAAATAAGTAAGAGCAAAGCTGACTCCATTGCAGGAAAGATGGAAACCCACAGCTGTGCTTGCTCCTCTCCCAGGACCGCCCTGCGAAGCCCCTCTGGCTCCTCATTGCATAGTTTTAAACAAAACAAACATTGAAATACCGAGAATTGCAACTGTTCCTTGCAATCTTAAGTAGGAATATGACCAGCTTTAAGAATTAAAATAGCTCTGGGGAACCAGGCATTCTATTGCTGAAATTGCTATCTGGAAGGCTATAATGAGAATAGGGAGATGAGGTAGGGTAGCTAATTAGAGACAGCTAAGCAGAACTTCTTTGTAAGAGTCTTCGGGAATCCTCTAAGACTCCTGGTGCTACTTGGGTTCTACGTGGGGGGGTGTGTCCTCAGCGCGGGAGGCAGAGCTCCGCCAGCTCCGCAAATCCAACATGGAGTTCGAGGAGAGGAATGCAGCCCTGCAGAAGCACGTGGAGAGCATGCGCACAGCAGTGGAGAAGCTGGAGGTGGACGTGATCCAGGAGCGGAGCCGCAACACGGTCTTACAGCAGCACCTGGAGACCCTGCGGCAGGTGCTCACCAGCAGCTTTGCCAGCATGCCCTTGCCTGGTAATGTCGCCCTTTGCCAAGCACTTTGGGGGTGGGGAGGGGGGCAGCAGGTGCTGTTTGTGTTGGTATTAAGTTGGTATTAGTGGGGTGAGCCTGAGGTCTCTCCACCAAGTGGAGAATCTAAAATAAGGGTTTTCTTCCCTCAGCGTTTTGTGTGGGTCACCTAACAGTATCTCAGTTTTGGCTACGATCAGCCATACTTTCAGACTGTCTGGTTATTTAAATTTTTCTGCAATTACATTTTAATATAATTTCCTTTCTATTAAGCTTAATTTAATATTCAGAATAATGGAAACTGGAGTAATAAGTCCTGAGTAGGGCACTTTTCCTATATATGTTTGCTTGCGTTGTAATTCTGTTTTAATGGGAAGGAAGAGAAAAAACAAACACTAGTATGTTTTATATACTCTTTCATGTTAAGGATAATTCCAGCAGAAAGCAGGGAGTCTCTAACATTTTGTTGTATGCATCTACTCCTATATACTGTATAGTGATTATATAGCCCATCTTTTTATTCAGGATATGTGGATTAATGTCATTTCTTTGAGGTCTAAAAGCCTCTGCTCTGAAATGAAAATCTGGTCTGTGGAGCGGACCACATTAGAGTCACAGTTGCTTTTACTTGGAGTCACTTAACTGTGTTATGGTTGAACAGAATAGGGAGGATTTTCTTACTTTCTCTTCTTATCTCACTTCAGGAAGTGGAGAGACACCTACAGTGGACACCATTGACTCATACATGAACAGACTGCACAGTATTATTTTAGCTAATCCCCAAGACAATGAAAACTTCATAGCTACAGTTCGAGAAGTTGTGAACAGGCTTGACCGTTAGGGAATGGTGAGTGCTCACTGATGCGACATGTATGTGCCAACACGTCATCGAAAATAAGAAGGCAGTCGACTTTCTCAATACTACTGAAACCCTGGCATTACATCAAATAAACGAATTGGAGACAATTAAAATCACTGTTACATGCTTACTCAATGTAGTAACTAATGTTAGAAAAGAGTTTTTTCTCATGCATGCCTCAGCATGGTTTAATGGAAAGAGCATGATGTTTTGTGGTTGAACCTCCATTCCAGCTTTGTCAGTTATTAGCTGTATTCTCCGGTGTTGGTTTCCCAAAGGGTTTTGAAGAGAGGATGAGAAGCTTAGAGGGAATCACCCCCAAAACAGCACTTAGAACAAAATAAATATCACTTAATTGTTAAACTTCCTTTTCCCTGGAAAATACTAACGATAACCTACAACAGCAGTCGCTGAGACATTGTATATATATAAAACCTACGCGAGGAAGAAGCTTTTCCTTCACCACTCCATATCAGAGTAACTACTGGTATGTTAAATGTTCGTATGGACTATCCTTATAGTGAAACAGCTATTGCCCAGGGGTGGTGCAGGGGGGTACCTGGCTGGTTCGGCCAGAAGAGCACGTGAATCTTGATCTCAGAGTTGTGAGTTCCAGCCCCACACTGGGTGTTGTGATTACTTAGATAAAATAAGAAAATAAAAAGACTTTAAATAGATTTTAAAAAATAAACTCTCAAAAAGCAAAAAAGAGAAGAGAGAAAATAAGCCTTTTAAAAATATGTTCAGCAAATGACTAGTAGTAGTTCCTCTTAGAGAATGAAAAAAATACATTTCCTGAAAGTCTCTGCCCGTTTAAACTTTTTGGTATGAATGGTCAGTCATCAGGCATCCTTTCTTAAATAGAACTCGTAGGTGTTCACTTAAATTCCTAGAGCTAGAGTGCCCTGAAGCATGCTGTCCCACAAAACTGACAACCCTTTGGTCTGCAGACCCATTCCTGCAGACGTAGAAACTGTGGGATTCCTAGCATCATATAATGAGGTGCCACATTTGGATCCAAAAACAAGAGGGGACAGGCAGGATATGCTCCTTACAGTGGCCAGTCATAGTTGTGAATCTTTATTTGTCCTGCAGGTACATGAGCACACTCATACACCTGTCCATATTGTAGTATGGTTTGGACCTTGAGCAAAATATATAAGAATAAACAATAAATAAAGCCCATGATTCTTTGTCTGATGAGGCAGCATCTGCTAGCAGAGACAAGAGCAGTAATCTCTGTCCTCCTTGGCCATGCCATTGGATGGTGAGACAGTGCATTATACGTTAGCCTCTGCCATGCCCTGATGGGGAAAGGATTAGCGTCCTTCTAGTGAGTAACCAGATGGAACAGACCGTACTTCTGAGAGACGGCTGGACTCCCTACAGAATAAAGAAGTGGCATTACCGCCGCTGTTTATGAAGGGAACAGCTTGTAAATCTAGGCCTGGGATTTTCAGGAGCTCATCATCCTTCTCATTTTCACACAGTGTTTTCAATTAGCACTCTTGTAGGCTTGAAAAGAGAGAGCCGGGACAAACAGAGTGGAAGACTGTGAAAAAACACAGTAATTGATAACATGGTGTCTCCTCACGTAGGTATAGGGCATTTGTTGCAAGTTTTGAGCCAAAAGTGGTTTTCTATTTTGAGTATTTTGCTAGTGAGAAGACTCTCATAAAGCCTTACCCATCTTGATATAAACTATAGTATCCGCTTTCTGAGGGATCTTTGAAATCCTAGAATGTTACCATTATCTTTGATTTTAACCTATATTTTGCTCTTGAAAAAAAAATACCTGAAATGTGAACCATTTTATTACTACAGATTCTTACAATCCAGCCGTGCAAACGTAACTAAGAGTAGAGAGTTCCCCACACTCCTCAGAACTGTCAAATGAAACAATTATAAAGACTGTGATTAATACTACGTTGGCCTCATTATACAAATATGTACAGACAGCTAGGCCTGATGTCCCCAGCATTCGTGGTGCAATTAATTACTCTGACGTGAGCTTGGCAAAGGTTTCATCCACTGTCAGGAGCCAGTGAGTGAAGGGAAGCCAGTGTTCTACAGTTTTAGAAGAGCATATTAGAGCCGGAAGGGACCTTTAGAAATCCCAACATTTTACATAGGAAGAAATGGAGTCCCAAAGAGGTGAAATTTCTTGCCTAAAAATACCCAAGTAGAAGAATCCAGAATCCAACTAGAACACATATACCTGAATTCCAGTTCAGTGGGATTTCTAAAGCATTGCTGTACAGAGGTGGGGGCAGGTATAAGGGAAAGGCACCAAAAAACTTTGGAATATAAGCGTTAAGACAAGTAGGTAAATAGAGAAACTTATAATCCAGGGATTATAGTGTTATAAAAATTGGTCAGCCCATCTAAAAATTATTTTTATGGACATACAGTGGAAGACTTGCCCTAGTTGTTGTTACCTTTCTCTGTATCTAACCTAGAAAAAAAAGTAGAGCTGGGAAGAAACCATGGGGGCAGCTTCACACTGAGAGGTGACCATGTTACATAAGCTGTCAGAATCCATATGTTGCTTGGTTTCAGTTTAACCAAATGAAAAATATTTGGCTCTTTGAGGAATTGAAGAAAGAAAAAAAAAAAACCCTTTCTCATGCGATTGCAACTTTAGCGATGTAAGAAAATGTATTGATCCTGCGCACATAATACATTTTTATATATATGCCAAGGTTTTTAGATTTATACTTGAAGAAGACTGGTTTTGATTGATTATACATTTTTTGGACTAAAATGGAGTACTAACTTTCCATCATCAGATTTGGGCCTGATAGTTGCTTTTCTGTGTTCAGCTGATGATTTTCCTACCTCCCCACTCTTACTGAACCGTGTTCCTCATTGAAATGTGATCTCAGACATCTCCATGAGGTTGTCTGCTTGCAGCTTTCTGTGCTCTTTCGTTTACCCTCACCCTGCTCCTCACCGTAGCCCTCCCCAAAATAGCAAAGAGCATTTTGTTTTTTCTAACCCATAGCCCTAACCCTTTCTGATCAGTGCTCACCATTTCGGTATCTTCATTGTTTTTCTCCCTCCCAATTCTACAGGTCTTAGAGCTCCATGATGTTCTGTAAGTGGTTTTGCTTGTGAGGAATGAGAAGCCATCCCTGGAAATTTGAACTGAGTGGAGGCAGAGAGGGGGTGCAGGTTGCTCTGCGCGGGGAAGAACTGTCAGTTAGGAGCTCAATGCCTTCACCCCGGGAAGCCTTGTGAGGGAGCAGCCAGAGGAGCGTGGATGCACTCTTCCTGTGGAACCGGCCTTGCGCAGCTTTGAAAGCGTACAGCCGCCCTCCCGAATCCTCGGTTTCCTGTCATCTGCATTTCTGATAAAGTGGGTCTGCGGATGTTCTGCTGACTGGGCAACCCTGACACTGATACCTCCTGCAGCAGAGGAAGCCCTCTCCTTGTTCCCCTTCAGATGGGGCCCTTTTATCTGTGGCTCCTGTTTTCCTACCTAGCTGTCACTTTTTTTTAATAATGCCTTTGGGGGTTATTTTTTATTTCCTCCACCCCCCGCCAAGTTATACATCTCCATTTTCTAACCTCTGGGCTTTGTTGCTCAGCTGGACTCTGAAGGAGAGTTTCTCTCATTGGACAGGCCCGGGCTTCTCCCCTCACCGTCCTGCTGTGCCTCCACAGAAGGGAGCTCCTTGTTGACGGTGTCCTGTGGAGGAGGCTGTGTTTCCTGCCCCCCACGGCGCTCAGTGGGTGCCAGCCCTCATCGAGGCTTTGTGATCGCTGCCCTGAAGGAGAATGCTCTGTCCCTCCTCGGTACTGCCTGCTGTTTCCTACGTGTCGCTCCTGCACATACGCGGTGTCCCAGCCCCAGCAAGGCTCTTCTGTTCCCATCTGTTGGCAGTGTCTTGTGGAGCGTTTTCACTGAGGAAAAGGTCATTGGTAAACAGGAGGGAGAGGGTAAAGTCATTTCTGATTGGGGCATTGGAGAAAAAAACAAATCACACAAAAACCCAAAGTTTATCATGAGCAACAACCGAGGGACTCCCTCTCGGCTTCAGGTGCACTGACACTCCAGCGGGGAAGGGTGGGAGTGTTCAAAGTCTTCTCCTGAGCCCACAGACAAGGGCACAGAGGAACTGGTCTTCCCTCCACAGCCACAACTGCAAAATCTACGTTCAAGGCTTCCCTTCCTTTTCCCCTCTCAGTAAGTGATTTTTTCTTTTTAACACCAAAAGGGAAGAGAGGTTTTCTGATTCTCACCTCAGGGTTTCGTTTGGTTTGGTTTGGTTTGGATGCTCTAGCGCACAAGGCTGACAGTTGCAGCTGAGATCCTTGGAACCAAAGTGGGCCGTGCTGAGCCCATTGTCTCGGCACCCTGCCACTGGCGCAGGCGGAAGTATGTCCCCCTTACAATCTGCTCAGAAGCCAGGGTGCAAGCCAGGGGCCCCCTGTTGTGTTGATGCACCATCCTGTCTTCTCAGCAGCATCCTACCTGATTTCTTTATTAGCCCAAAGGAAATAAAATCACAACAAAAGCAGCCTTTCTGCAAAATGTTATGTGAGCACACAGTCCAATTTCCATGCACTGAAGCCACATGCAGCCACTTGGCAACTTCCTACAATAAGAGCCCATCATTCCTTGTTGCTAGAAACCTAGCCTGCTTTTCTGTATTTTCCTGTTTTTCTGCCCTCTCCTGCTGTCCCTGTCACTTCCCTCGGACTCCTCGCCGGCTCAGTCCGAGCGAGAACACCCTGTGTGTGGCAGAAGGACAGCCAAGCCAGTTCTGGAAGTTTGTGTCTGCCTCCTGCCAGACACTCTGTTTCCTTTCTTCTTTCCTCCTGATACTGTTCTCTTTCTCCTCTGTGTCACCTTTGTTAGCAGTGCTGTTGACCAGGAAAGATGGCAACTTGGTCCAAAGGTCATCATTCTCCCGACTGTAGACGGGACACCTGACATTGACTTGAAACATTTGCATATTCAGGAATGCTCCAGATCTTGGGAGAGGCTACAGTCCAAAACCGTTTTCACAAAATAAGCAGCCTGCTTTTGAAACCGGGGCTCTCCCAGCAGCGACACACCAGACTGGTGGCTGGGACTCAGCAGCCACAACACTATCAGACGCTGTTAAGCAGGTGTGTGGTACCCACCCAGGAGGTGGCGAATGAGGTCACAGCCTAGCGCGGCACCTAATTCATGTTTCCCAGTAAACCTGCAGATAGTCCTGCACACTTACCCGTTCTTCTCAAGAAATTAGTTGTTGCCCATTCAGGGTTCCAGATTTCGTTGTTGTTGTTGTTGTTGTTGTTTCCTTTCATTAAAACCCAAGGAGCAAGCTGAAGAAAGTAAGACAAAGTGTTTTATTTCTGACAACATTAAATTTTAGGGGAAAAAATTGTGTACATGTGTTTGGAACTGTTGAAATGCCAAGTTTTCTGTACAAGTGTTTTTGTAATTAAACTTTTAGATTTTCTTTGTTTTTGAAGAAGTTGATGTGCTTGCCTGACACTTGCCTCATTAAAACTTTGCTGTGTGGAATCCACCTAATTCCATTTTCCCAGCATTGTGATGGAAAAAGTCCTGCCTCCGCCTTTTCATCTTAAAGACTTTGTCAACTCTACCTTAATCATCAAGACTGTTATGCTTTTAAAACATTAACACATTCATTTTACTAATTACTATTTCAAAATGTCTTAGCCTGTTTGAGAGTTCAACTCGTTTAATGTATATATAACAATACAGTGAGTTGTAATCATGTTGATGTAGCACTAGTATTCTGCTTGAAAGAAGTTTGATGTTCTCCCTTTTGACAGAAGGGAGAAGATATCCTTAGATGCTTGCTTTTAAAAGGAGCCACTCCTTAAACATTCAAAATCATTTTTAAAAGAAATCTGTCACCATGCTTTTAAAATCCTAAGGATGAGGGGGGTGCCTGGGTGGCTGAGCCTGTTAGGTGTCCGACATTGGCTCAGGTCATGATTTCATGGTTTGTGAGTTCGAGCCCCACGTTGGGCTCTGTGCTGACAGCCCAGAGCCTGAAGCCTGCTTCGGATTCTGTGTCTCCATCTCTCTCTCTCTCTCTCTCTCTCTCTCTCTCTCTCTGCCCCTCCCCCACTCGAACTCAGTCTCTCCTTCTCTCTCTCTCTCTCTCACACAAATAAAAAAAATAAAAAATAAGAAAAATAAATAAAATCCTAAGGATGAGGTAACCTGGCTTTCAAAGCCTGCTGCTCTCCAAGTAGCTAGTTGTGTTGCGTTGGGCAGGACTTGCTTTTCCCCAGCCCCAGTTTCCTCTTCTGGCAGAACACATGCCTCACAGCTCTCCTACACTGTTGTTAGAAAGATGGAATTAGGGAGCAGAACTGACCACACTTTGGAGGACATGAAGGCTTTGTTATATGAGTGCCAAGAATTATTGAGGTAACTCAGTTAGGATTGGGCTTGACTGTGCACTTAACAGAAGCTCGCATAAGCAAAAACTTGAATAAGAAATGTGTCTCTCTCATGGAAAAGTATTCCAAAGGTTGGCAGCCCCAGACCAGGATAATGGCTCCTGCCCATACCACATGGTTCCTTTCTCAAGGTCACCTCGTGGTCCAAAATAGCCCCTTGACCATCAGCCATCATTTGAAATTCCTGGCAGCATGAAGAAGAGAAGAGGGCAAGGGCAAGATGGGCAAACCCAGCTGAGTCAGCACCCTTTAAAGAGTCTTCCTGGAAATCACATGCAGCATTTCCAGAACTCAGACACATGACAGCAGCAAGCTATAAAGGAGGCCAAGAAATGTCATCTTTCCTTGGACATTACTTCCCCCAATGATACATGAGTTTTAGTCACTTAAAGAAGAAACTGAATTCAGAGTAAGCAACTAACAGTTAAGTGTTACTCCGTGCACGTGCTAAAGCCCTCAAGCCAGCCCTCCTATTTTAGCGAGCAAGATCCATTACACTGCCTTTGCCTCTTGGCCATCCAAAAATGGCCATATACTTGCTTGGGACTCTTTCCCCTCCCACCCCCACACTAAACAGCCAAAAAGCTGAAAACTAGCTACAGCCTGAGTTAGCGTTTCCTGTTCCCACCTTAGCTTTTTTCTCCCCCACCCCTCAACAGCTGGTGACCAGTCCTGTTTGGCAAAAGTCAACGTAAACAGGTAGTAATATTTCCCTCAGTTGTTTGTTCCCTTTCTCTAACTGCAGCATTGCATTAGGCTGGATTAAAACAACACCAGGATAATCCTTTCCTAAGGGTGAGGGATTGAAGCCTTACTTGGCGGAAAAATCTCACAGCTACTTCCTGCCCTCTGAAAGAATTTCCGGCCTTGTAATTGAGAGTTCCAAGTCAAGGGCTTTTTCTTTGTTTCATTGATTTGCCTTTTGACACATAGGCTGCACTCAAGAAATATACTTCACAGTATCTATAGAAATAAACACTAGCTCACATCCCAGCTCATAAAGGGCTAAGGATTGAGAGTTGGAGCAGGTGAAATGTTACTGTCCAGTCATCCCCTCATCCAGAAACCATTTCAGTTTAGTTTTTATGGGAATGTGTGTCTACAGGGAGAAACTGCATAAAAAATTCTAACAGGGCACCTGTATTAAGAGCTTTAACAGGTAAATAATTTTTGGAGGGTGAAAGAACTGTTTGAATCTCACCTGACAAGAGATGGTTTTTCTGTTATCACCAGAGGGTTGGCAATGGCAATAGATCTGAGTCTTGAGGGATCAGCATCTTCACTAATAAAGCCCTTATCTGAAACATAAGTGAAATATAAAAGTCCAACTGATAACCATCAGCGTTTTTCTAGCAGACAGTGAGATAGCTGAAAATAAGAGTAGTTGGACTAATTATAACTTAGATGAATTGTTTTCAAAGTATGCTTTTAACTTAATAGGCCATTAAATCAAGTTGTTCAAAAACATTTTTTTAATAAAATGAAAAGAAACTGTCAGTATACACTACATATAGTAAGGATAAGTAGTATTTTGTGAAACCTTTTTCCCACTTTAGTTTATACACATGTGCTGGGGTAGAATGTAAAATGTGTTTCTTTCCAAGGGGTCAAAGTAAAGACAGTCCATGACAGTTTCACTGCGTCTGAAATTGGATGGAATTGCTGGGTTCCCATTTGCTGGGCTTTGCAGTTTTCTACTGTGTGACCTTAGGCAAGTTGCTTAAACTAGTCCCTTTTCTCATCTGTTAGACGGGGATATCTATAGTTTCTGTTGTGTAGAGTTTTGTGTGGATTAAATTAGTTAATCCATGTAAAACTCTTAGTACCTATTACAGAATAAACACCTACGTGTTAAGTATAATATTTTGTGAAAGACTCCAGGGAAAGGAGAACAACTGAACATACTATAGGCCAAGTGGTCTGCTCTGCTTTTTATATAAATTATGTCTTTGAATTCTTCCCACAACCTTACAGAGTAGGACTACCCTACCCACTTTGCAGGTAACCAAATTAAGACTCAAAGATGATGAGCAGTTGCACAGTTATACACCTGGGAAGAGACAAAGAAAGGATTTATACCCAGATAGTTCTGACTCCACATTCCTCTGTAGCCAGACTGCCTTAGAGATTTTTAAGAAGAATGCCATGAATTCAAAGCAGCAGCGTAATATGGTGTGGCTGAGAACGAGGACTAGACCGAATCATCCAACAATGTTTGTTGAATGTCTTTCTCGTGTCAGGAGACATTCTGGGTCCCTGCCCCCATGGAATTTATATCCTGCCAAAGGGAAAGAGACTATAAACAAATAACCTGACTCCCCTCAGTTAGTTGCCAAGACAAGATGAAATGCTATAAACTAAGATAGAGGAAAGGATTCTCTGAAAAAGGAAAATTTCAAGACAGAACCAGGTTGATTCCAAGGATCCAGCCCTGTGAGGATTTAGGGAATAGAAAGACCAAAGTCCTGGGACAGAGATTTCAAGGAAGAGGAAAAAGCCTATAAGGCTGGAACAGAGTAAATGAGAGGTCGAGTGGCCTTGAAGTTGCCCGGTAGGCAACGATGAGATCAGGTAGAGCCTTGTAAGGTGTAGGAAAGAGTTTAAATTGTATTCTAAGTGTAGTGTGAAGAGAGCTCTACACAAGCAAGTGACAAGATCCGATTTATATTGTTCAAGCATCACTCTGGCTGCTGTGTACATAGCTGGAAAGGCAAGAGCAGCATCAGACCAATCAGGAGATGGTCACAGCAATCCAGGGCAGAAGTGACAATAGCTTAGCCTAGAGTGGTGGCAGCGGGGTCAGAAAAGAGCAGGTGGGGGCACTTGGGTGACTCAGTGAGTTAAGCGTCTGACTCTTGATTTCAGCTCAGGTCATGGTCTCAACAGTACCTGAGTTCGACCCCCAAGTCAGACTCTACACTGATACTGCAGTATTTGCTTGGGACTCTCTCTCCCTCTCTCCCTCTCTCTGCCCCTCCCCCACTCACATGCAATCTCTTTCTCTCCTCTCAAAATAAAGACATAAACTTAAAAAAAAAGAAAAAGAACTGCCTAGATTTTTTTTTTTTTTTTTTTTGTTTTTTTTTTTTTTTTTTTTTTTTTTTTTTTTTTTTTTGGCTTGAGGAACTGGGTAGTGAATAGACGTGCCATTGCCTGAGATGAGATAGACATAAGAATTGAACATTGTAGAGGAGACGGCAAAAGTTCTGTGCGGGACCTGCTAAATCTGAGAGTCAGCCAGCAGATTCGGCCCTGGCAAGACACTTACCTCTCTGCTATCCATTAAAACTTTCCTTTCAGCTCTTAAAAGTCTGTGGTTCCGTGAGAGTCTAACTTCAGGTCAGTGTTTGCTAACATTCCTTCCAGCCTCAGTGCACGCACACACGAAGATCCAGTTACTCAAGCTGCTGAACTATGAAATTAAGGAATGGTCTCCTTTTTAATTCTTCAAGCTCCGTAGGAAAAGAATTTATCAAACCTTGCATTTGCATTTGTTTAAGGTTGGCGTAAAGTAGCTGAATGTTCTAGGATATAAAAATCATACCATAACCTGATGGTTAGAAAATCCTGGGGCAAGTAATGGAAAGCATCTGCTTGAAAGAGACTTGGCCAGTACATATTTGGCATCACTGAAAGAAGGGTGATGTGAGAAGATATCAGTGATACAGCCAAAAGGTTTATGGAATCAGCAAACTGGTTCCTGTGGAGGGTGCTTTGCTATCTTCAAGGATAGAAATTAACTAAAGGCAGCTGGGCCCAGGCAGTGGAATGTAAGATGATAATCTATTGTTCTTGGGGCTGCTGGGTTTTTTAAGTGGACTTACATTTATCAAAAGAAGTTCTTGTTTTTAAGGAAAAACTGGTATGGTCCTTATGGATTTTACTCATCCCTTGGGAAAAGAAATGTTTTAGATATAGTCATTCATCCGAACATTTTCCATATACATACTAGGTGTTTTGGCTATAAAGTTGAGGACGTCTGTCTCCTCAAGAAGTTCACAATATAACTGAGGAAACACGGACACTAATTACAATACGATCTGAGAAATTATCAAATGGCCATAAGCAAATTGTTCTGGAATATACAAAGGAAGG